ATATCTTAAGTCATTAATATTCTTTTGGCTCACAGAATTGGCAATATAATCTAAAGGTAACAACTAGGTGATTTTCTTTTATATCAATTAAATATGTTAGTTTTCAAATATTCACAAGTGCCTACTGTGCAGGGAAAGAATGCACGCCATACAAAAGATGTAGTCTGGGCCTTTAAGAAACTTTCATTTGATGGGAACGCAAGAAGTGTACCTATAAGAAGGTAAGTAGCGCCCAGGCGTGGTGGCTCACGCCTGTAATCCCAGCACTTTGGGAGGCCAAGGCAGGTGGATCACAAGGTCAGGAGATTGAGGCCATCCTGGTTAACACAGTGAAACCCCGTCTCTACTAAAAATACAAAAAATTAGCCGAGCATGGTGGCGGGTACCTGTAGTCCCAGCCACTCGGGAGGCTAAGGCAGGAGAATGGTGTGAACCCAGAATGTGGAGCTTGTAGTGAGCCAAGATCGTGCCACTGTACTCCAGCCTGGACGACAGAGCAAGACTCCGTCTCAAAAAAAAAAAAAAAAAGAAGAAGGTAAGTAGCAGTGAGGTGCAAGACAATACATACATATCAGTGAATGATATTGCCAAAAAATGCTATTGATAGAGCAATAATTCATTTCTGCAAACATCTGCTGATCTCCTACTGAAAACAGAGGAGTGAGAACAGGACGCCTGGTGGTCAGGATAGAAGAGAAAGACCTTGAGTTGAACCTTGAACAGTATTTAATTTTCAAAGGGTTAAGAGAGGGGAGAATAGTTCCAGCACAAATGACGGTGTACAAGATGAACACAGTCAGTAAAGAGCAGACTGGTCTGGATGGAGAGGAGGATTTGCATCATTTGGGATTACGTCATTTAGACCCTTGAAAGCCAGGATTGAGTAAAGCGCAGTGAAGGGACTGGCTCGTATGGAAGGTTTATTTTAAGAAGATTAATCTGGTAGTGACATGTGCCAAAAACTGAATAGGTAGAAATGAGATGCAGAGAGCCCAGTTAGAACTGAGTCTGGTGCAGTCATGCAGGATTGAGGCAATAAATACCAAACTACAGTATCACCAGATAATGGATGTTTGAACGGACAGTTTAAAGGAAAACTGATGGTATTTGGTAATTTATTAGATAATCCAGAGCCATGGAATTAGAGGGGAAAAATGACTAGCCGTAGTCATCAAATGGTTTTTCTTAAAAACAGTGAATCTGAGTTTTGGTGTAAAGAGCAGGATTTTCTTAGGCCTTGCCTAGTTGGTACCATTGCCTATGATAATGACTCCCACTATGCTTGTTCCTCTTTTAACAGCTGTGAGTCCCTCACCAGCCAAACAATGAGCCTCTTGAAAAGGACAATGCCTTTTCACTTCTCTCCAAGTGCTCAGCAAATAGGAGGCCTTTTGAAGCTACTCTATAGTTAGGGGTTCCCAGTTAGTATTTGAAATACTAAGTCATGGCTGTGGTTGACAGCATGGGCTCTCGTGTTGTAGATTTTCCTGGCCCTACTGCTCATCATCAGCTATTAACCTTAGGCAAGTTAATGAACTTCTCTAAGCCCCGCTCTACTCATTTATAAAGTGGGATTATTAATAATGTCTACTTCATAAAATTATGAAGCCTGAGTTAGGTCATTCAGATAGTGTTTAGTCTAATTGTTAGAACCTAGTAAACAGTCAGTAAACAGAAGCAAATGCCACATGCCTGATTTATATCCAAGAGGAGAAAGGTAAATCTGAAATTTTCATGATGTATGGATTCAAATTATACATTTCAAAGATGCTTTATAAGCTATTGTTTTGGTAAGAAGAATTGAGCTGAAACAGAATTTTCTGACAGCAATGATTATGAAATAGTGAAATAGGCTATTGATGTCTTTAAAGAATATAGATGTTCACCTTTTGCATGTAAGTGTACAAAAATTGACTAAGCAGATATGTGTGTCTACATAGAGAGAGAGAGAAAGCATTAAAGTTAGTAAACATTCCCTTCGCTTTTTTTTTTGAGACAGGGTCTTACTATGCTGCCCAGGCTGGAGTGCAGCGGTGCGATCGTGGCTCACTGCAGTCTCAACACCCTGGGCTCAAGTGATCCTCTCACTCAGCCTCCTGAGTAGCTGAGGTGTGCGCCACCACACCTGGCTAATTTTTTAATATTTTTTTTGTAGAGGTGAGGTTACCTTGTTGCCCAGGCTGGTCTCAAACTCCTGAGCTCAAGCAATCTGCTCACTTCAGCCTCCCAAAATGCTGGGATTACAGGCATGAGCCACCACGTCTGGCCAGTAGACCCCATTCATTTACATCATCTTATTTGTCCCTCCAACAATCCTGTAAAGTAGGTAGGATCTGTCTTTATTTGTTATTTAGGTGAAGAACTTGAAGTGGTGTTGAGGAATAGGTGTTTTGCCAAGCGTCACGCAGCTGGAGTGGCCGAGACGTATACTCTTCGGGTTCCGCCAATGCTGTTCACATCACATCCGGAGAAGGGTGCTCTGAGGCACGGATGTTTAGTGGGAGGGATGAGACACAGGCTGCGATGCCAAAAGATAACCAGGAATAAAATCAGAAAACAAGACGTTTGTTTCTGTTAAAATGAGACAGAAAATAAGGCGTTCGTGGTCTGGGATTGAGTGCTTGGAGAAGTGGGGAGCGATTTGATGTGGGTGAGACTGCTCTTGGAATGCTGCGTCTGGTTCTGGACTACTCATTACTAGGCTTATAGAAACTAGCTGGAGGAGGTTCAAAGAAAAGCCCCAAAATGATTAACGGGCTGACGCGATTGATTTATAAGAAATATTAAAAGAATTAAATGTGTATAGCTCAGCTAAGCCAAGATGAAAGAGAGACCAGCTAAATGTATACAAATATCTGAAATGTGTAAACTTTAAAAAAAGGGATTTATTATTTAACGTGATACACGGGGGTACAACATGCAGTCATAGGATGAAAATTCAGCTGGGTATCTAGAAGAATTCCCCAATCATGAATCTGTTAAGACTGTCTGTAGCATGGCCTTTCCCTGGAGAGGCCATAGAAATTTCAAGCCTCACGATTTTAAAACTTTCTTGGGAACTGGGTATTAGAGGATGCTAGAGAATTATTAATTTGGTCAGGTATGATAGCGGTATTGTAGTTCTCTAAGAACAATTTTATTTTTTAGAGTTACATACTCTGAAATATTAGCATAGAATATGATATAAGATATTTACTTTAAAATACTACAGTAAGGACAGAAAGGAGGGAGGAAGAAAAGGAAGGAAGGGGAAGAAAGGGGAAAAGAAAGAGGCAAAGAAGGAAGAGAAGGTAAGAGAAAGAAGGAAGGAAGAAGGCTGGGCGCTGTGGCTCATGCCTATAATCCCAGCATTTGGGAGGCCGAGTTGGGAGGATCACTTAATTAAGCCTAGGAGTTCAAGGCTGCAGTGAGCTGTGATTGCGCCACTGCACTCCAGCCTGGGTGACAGAGTGAAACCCTGTCTTAAAAAAAAATAAGTTAAAAAGAAAGCAAAGGGTAAATGAAGTGTGGCAAGATGTTGGTAATGCTGAACCTGAAGGAAGTTAATATGTCAGTTCACTTTCCTCTTCAATCTTCTTTATGTTTGCCAACTTTCATAAAAAAATTTAAATTATGTTTTCCGGATCAAAACCTAGTAGCAATATTAGTCCCTGGGCTTCATGACTGAAAAGCCTCATTACCACATGGGCAGAGTTCTGGCCGACCAGGGACCACAGTGGTTCACCATCTTGCTCTGGTAATGTAGTCTGGGCTGAAGGGCCCTTTCTAAAGTTGTGGATAGAAATCCAGGAAACTTCTTAGAACTGCAGATCTCTCAGGGTACCTGCAGGAGGTGGGTCTTCTGAGGTGAAAAAGCAGAGGCCAGAGGTCGTGATTAGCAGCTGACCCCCCCCTGCTTTTCTGTCCCTCACTGATGGAAAACACTGGACACTGAGCAGAGCTCTAGGTGTCTTTGGAATAGCAAAACACTAGTTTTCTTTCCTCTTTCTTTCTTTCTTTCTTTCTTTCTTTCTTTCTTTCTTTCTTTCTTTCTCTTTCTTTCTCTCTCTCTTTCTTTCTCTCTTTCTTTCTCTCTTTCTCTCTCTCTCTTTCCTTCCTTCCTTTCTTTCCTTTCTTCCTTTCTTTCCTTTCTTTCTTTTTTTCTTTCTTTCTTTTCTTTCTCTTTCTTTTTCTCTTTTTCTCTTTCTCTCTTTCTCTCTCTCTCTCTCTCTCTCGTTCTCTCTTTCTCTCTTTCTCTCTTTCTTTCTTTTCTTTCTTTTCTTTCTTTCTTTCTTCAGAGCCTTGCTCTGTTGCCCAGGCTGGAGTGCAATGGCGCGATCTCGGCTTGCTTAACTCCGCCTCCCGGGTTCAAGCAACTCTCCTACCTCTGCCTCTCGAGTAGCTGGGATTACAGGTGCCCACCAGCACGCCCAGCTAATTTTCATATTTTTAGTGGAGATGAGGTTTCACCATGTTGGCCAGGCTGGTCTCAAACTCCTGGCCTCAAGTGACCTGCCTGCCTTGGCCTCCCAAAGTCCTGGGATTACAGGCATGAACCACAATGCCCAGGCATGAACCACAATGCCCAGCTGCAAAATCCTATTTTTCTTGAATGGAGCAACACTTTCCCCTTATTTATTGAGTTTGGGAAGCAAGAAGAGGGGTAATTCATTAAGTAAAAGCTTCCCAAATCCAGAAAACATCGATAAAGCTGAGGCTTTATTTTTTTAAGGAACAATTTTTTAAACTATCTTCTTTTGAGCCTCTTTAGGAAGACCTCACGTCCTTGCCTTGAATGTTGAGAGTGGGAAATCCAGGGAGGTTTTGGAATGCATGCCTTATGTCTGCTTTTTTGTTTGTTAGAGAAATATAAATATTTTATCTAGATTTTGCTGATGGCAATCAAGCATGAACACAACCCACTGTTTGAGGAGCTGTCATTTCTGAATTTCTCCAGAGTACATATCTAGGCCAGCAAATGGCAGTAAGAGTGAGGTGGATTTAGCTCAGTGAAAGGATGAACTCTGGAACCATCGGCGCTGACTGAAAGTGAAGCAGCAGCTGCATTGTGGGAAAGCTGGCTGGAGTCTCTCTGATAAGCAGGCATTCTTTTTTTCCAGCCCTTCACTGTGTTGGTTCTGCCCACAGTAAGCCTCCTGGCCTCTAGGCTGTAACCCCACCATCCTCCTCTGCTTGCCTCCAGAGTGATTGTTCTGAAGCACAGCTGGGTGTCATTCCCCTTCCTGAACTCCTAGCAGCCACAGGGACTCCATCCCTTGTGCCCCACACCATGCCCCACACAGAGACATTCCTAATGAAGATTTGATTGAATTCTTATAACTCAGTGCCTCCCACTCTTCTAGCTGCTTCTCTGTGTGCCTTTGTACATTTATTTATTTATTTATTTATTTATTTATTTATTTATTTTTGAGCAGAGTCTTACTCTGTCACCCAGGCTGGAGTGCAGTGGCACCATCTCAGCTCACTGCAACCTCTACCTCCCAGACTCAAGCAATCCTCCCATCACAGCCTCCTGAGTAGCTGGAAACACAGGTGCGTGCCACAATGCCTAGTTAATTTTTTGTAATTTTTGTAGAGATGGGGTTTCATCGTGTTGCCCAGGCTGGTCTTGAACTCCTGGACTCAGGCGATTCGCCCGCCTCAGTCTCCCAAAGTACTGGAATTACAGGCCAGAATGCCCAGCCGCTAGCACTCACCTTAATCATACATTTACTTGTCTGTCTTTCCCACCAGACTGCGGGCTCTTTGAGAGTAAATGCTATGTTTTCACCTTTATTTCCCCAGTTTGTGGCACATTCTAGGCACTCGCCATCATCAAATAAACCTCTGGAGCTGTGATATTACAAACGTGGAAAGATGATGTACTCTCAACAAGTTTCAGTGAGTAAACAAAGTCTTTCATTCAGCAGATATTTATTGACTGTCCTGACTCTGACCTGCCCTCCTGTCTGTGGCTCAAGGAGAGCACAGTCCACAGAATCAGAGACCTGGCTGCTCTGGAAGTTAGACGTAAGCCCACCCCTGGTCCTTGAATGGGGAAACATTTCCCTTCATTCCTGTGTTTTAGGGACGGAAAGATGAGTAATGCAGTGACACATGCTGGAAATGTTTATTCCACTACCCTAAGCTGCCTCTCAACTTGAACAATCCATGCAAGAAACAAGATGATATATAACTTATTCTGATTTGTGATGCCTTTGTTTATTTGTTTCCAGTTAAAAGAGGAGGTGGCATTGAATTGTTTGTTTGGTTTGGTTTCTTCTTCAATAAGAAGCATCTTAATATAACTAGTCTGGACATCTGTCCTATTTTCAAAAATTACACGTTTCGATCATTGCTAAATTGTACAGATCCCAATCTGTCTGCTCTGCATACATTTGCATTTATAAAAGCAGAAGCAGACTAGCAGTCTTTCTAATGCAATCCCCTAAATGCATGAAGTATTAGATTGCTTCTCCCTATTGGTTCATGCATTGCTAAAGGCTTAAAAGGATCATTGATTTGAATTATTTAATGTGTACAGCAGGCTGAGCTTCCTTTCTTTTTTAAGAGAAGAACCTTCAGGGGCATTGCTTTAGTTTTTTAATGTTAAATCTCATTTTTCTTTGAAAATAAGAAGTTAAAGCTGTATTCACATCAGCTCCCAAAGTGCCAGATTTTCATTGTGTTTTTAAACCATCTAGGAAATGTTTGATTCTAATGAAACATTACTGCTGAAAATTGGGCTGAAATTGCTGGGCTGAAAATATTGTTATAACTTCACATGATTCCAAGGTTGTATTGTTATTTTTTCTTTTTCTTTTCTTTTTTTGACCTGATATAGATGAAGCAAAGAGACACGGAGCAATCCAACGTGTAATAAAAAAAGGCAGCCTGGATTGTTGTTGCTGTTTTTGAAATTTAAGCTGGTTTTCAATTAAATTCAGTAAATGGTCCAGGACTGTAAATGTTGAACATTTTTTACTGTGTAATTTAAATTTTAGTCTTATTGTTTTGTTTTGTTTTTTTGATGGTTTACATTTTCCCCATGGAAAGCAGCTATGTCATGTCGGCACGATTCATGATGGTAACATCTGGGGGTATGGGCTTATTTTGGTTTGTGTTATGTTCAGAAAGCGGGATGCCAAAAATAAAGAGAGGTTTGTGATGTCTAGTGTGTCTTCCTTTAACAAATCAAAGGCTCTTATTTAATCCACTTAATGGGACACTGCAGAAATTTAAAAAATGGAAGTTCCATCCACAGAAGGCAGTCCTATGATGTAAAAAGCTTAGTAGGGGGATTAATAGAGTAATCATATAATTTATGAACTAAACGGAGACACTTTTTTTTTTTTTTTTGAGATCGAGTCTCACTGTTGTCCAGGTCAGAGTGCAGTGACGTGATCGCTGCTCACTGCAACCTCCGCCTCCCGGGTTCAAGCGATTCTCCTGCCTCAGCCTCCTGAGTAGCTGGGACTACAGGCGCCCGCCACCACGTCCAGCTAATTTTTGTATTTTTAGTAGAGATGGGGTTTTACCATGTTGGTCAGGCTTGTCTCAAACTCCTGACCTCAGGTGATCTGCCCACCTCGACCTCCCGAAGTACTGGAGATCACAGGTGTAAGCCACCATGCCTGGCCCAGAGACACTTTTGAGAGTGAAGAGGAAGCATGAAAATAATTCATTGATCTACAACTGGGACCATCCAGGGCAAGCCAGATGCCATTACCACTATCTAGAAAGCTTGCCAAGGTCTCATTTACCTTGGTATATAGCAAATTCTTCTTTGAATTCTGGAAATTCTGGTAAGTCATTGAGGTAGCTCTGTACCAAGGAGCAATATGGCAGAATTCTAATATTTCAGACAATACAACACTTTCCTGAATTTATAGCAGGTAAAGGGAAGCACAGAAGACAAAACCATTGGGACTCGACAAAGGGCATAAACGTCTAATGATAAACCTGATGTAGCTGATGGTAAATTGTTATCAGCTAAAGGTCTTTCATAATAAATAAACTTATCATTTGTAGGAGGGCACAGAAATCATGGAAAGCTGGGATTCCGGTTGCCTGTGGCTTTAATTCTGGAATCAGAAATATTGGTCAAGGATATCCGTCCATGAAATAAGTTTTCAATGTTATATGCCACAAGATGCAGCTGTCCTATTTTCACTTCCAGTAATTCCTTGTGAATTAATATACCTTAAAAATAGCTGCAGCTTCTCAAATCTGTGAGAATCGTTTGTGCTGCTTGCTACACTTTCCTTTTTCCTGAAGGTCTCTTTGAGGTCTTTCAAGAACTCCGTTCAATTCAGCAACAATTAGGGGGTCTAAGGTATACAGACGCTGTGCAAGATGCTCCTGAGACACAAAGAGGAGGTCAAGCCCCTGCCCTCAGGCACCTCTCTATAATATAGGAGGAGAAAGAGAAGAAACGTTAATACAACACTACATAGGTCGGTGCAATCCAAAGAGTACATAAGTTAAAGCCAGGTGGTAGGTGTAAGAAGATTTGTAACAGAATTTTCTGCATGTTTGAAATATCTTAGAATTTTTAAAAATTAAAAAGGGAGATACATATATGTATTTATGTATGTATATATGTGTGTACGCATACGCACATATATACATATTTGTGTATATATTTGTATTATATATCTGTAAGACTTTAGAAGACTGAGAAATCACATCTGATTATGGGGATCTGTGATGGCTTTGTCTACCCTTTTCCGCAACACACCGTACACTTTGTAACCCATCTTCCCTAAAAACTGTCTCATAAAGAGTCTTCTTTCCCTGCACCTGTGCAATGGTAAGCAGCAAAACACACATTCTTTTGGGTCCCTATAACATTCCCTGTAGTCTACCCTTAACAGTCTTTGATGTGAAATTTACTCTTTCTGTCTTAACCTTGCCTGTCTCACGTACGTGGAGTTTTGGCTCCTGGCTCCTAGTCTGCATCTTCGCCCCATCCCTTGCCAAAAGAATCTGGTTATGTGACCACTGCTCATCTTCTCCGCTGCCACAACTCCAGTCCAAGCCACAAACCTCTGTCGCCTGGACTCCTGTGGGGAGTTCCTTTCTCTCCCTGCATGAGTCGATTCTCTGGCCAAATAAATTAATAAAAAAGTAAGGAGCCACCTGGGCTAGCAAATTAGGAGTTGTTTAGACAGACGTGAAAAAGAAAGCAAGGAAGAGAAAAGTCACTATACAGAAGAGAGAGACCCATGACAGCAAAGACAGTGAGCTGGTAAAGTGGCTGGCGATCTAACCCTTGAAAATACCTCCAGAGATGCCGGGCATGGTGGCTCACACCTGTAATCCCAGCACTTTGGGAGGCCAAGGTGGGTGGATCACCTGAGGTCAGGAGTTTGAGACCAGCCTGGCCAA